CAATTGACAAACACGTGTACGAAAATCGACTTCACTCTTTCTTTCTCCCTCTTTAAAAGAGATAGTAACATGTTTATGATTTTAAATAAATAAAGTTTCAGATGAAATACAGAAAAAGCGAATAATAAATATTGACAAAAATTACATACATATCTAACTAATATTATAAATGCAAAAGTTTAGATGGATGGCATGTTTTGATGGATGTTTGATGGATGTTTTGGCATAGCCGTAGAGGATAGGCTGGAAGAACACATTGGCTACTCACTTTTGTTTTTTCTACTTCCACGCGGAGTTGCTGGCGAAAGCTAGTATCTACAAATGTCTAGAACTAAATAAATTGAATTTTTCCCCTAAATCGTTGCGCAATTTATGGGGAATATTTGTTATCGGTTCATACATTCATACATATACCAAACATGTATAAATGTTCAGTCAAACTTTATCTATAGCGTGGGAAGGCTGAGATAGAGGTTGCGTCAATCCTAAATAAAAATGTTCAATACATTGTATGGTTATTTCACTTTTTTATAGAATAAGGGTTGAAACAATACCATAGGAACTACAGGTGCGTTATAATCCTAATATCTACTAAGAGAACAGCGGGATTCTGATCGCACTCTATCAACAAAGGCGTGAATAAACCACTACAAGTTGTGAATAATTATTGTCAAAAACAAAAATTTTAAATAAGCCATTTTAAAGGCCTTACATATTCTTTACTGAATGCGTAAGAATTCTTAAATCATTCGTAACTCCAAATCATAGAGTATCATAGATTATGTACCTTATAAAACAGTCTATATAGGGTATATAACACAATGTACATTATGGTTACGTTTTGTGAACATTAGACACATGCCGTTGTTAATACAAACGACACATGTGTTATCATTTCTGCACATCGAGTCATAATAATGTAAGCAACAGGTAATTACGTCAATATTCCCGCCATTTCTTAGACAGACCGACAGATATATGTTTCTTAAGAGTTTGTAAATGTCTAAACAGAAAAATATGCATGTGGTATCCTAAATCCTATTGACAAACACGGATAAGTAATCAAACATTTGCTAGTTTCTACATTTAAAATGTGTACACTTATGCAGCTAACTGTACTCATAATCTCAGACATGAGTACGTAATCCAATAATAGCTACATTAGATGCGTTCATGTGCATAATTGCTGCATAATGAATATGGATATTGCATATTACTGAATTCGCAAAATCACCAACACGTACGTGAAAGAAAGTGCGAACGGTAACACGCTGTATTTAGCATGCTAATTATTAATACGTCCACGATGATGTAAGACGCGAATTTTCAAACAGGAAGCGCGAGCCTTAAATGTATGCATTGTGTTCTACGAAAACGATTCAATTTTTTATGTTGGTATTATATAAAAACTGAATTGAACAAATTATAAAAGTTAACAGTTTAATCAACGATAGAATGATACACATAAACGAATAACCTACAATAATCTATTTATTTTTGTATATTAGCTGCTACTCTCGACTTCGTCCCCGTGAAATTAAAAAAAATAAAACACACAGGTAAATAAAAGGTGACATGATCAAAAAGGGAGTGATGACTGAGATGACGTATGATAGAGTTATGTGGAGGACAAAAACCTGTTGCGCCGACCCTACGGGAGTAGGATAAGGAGATGATGATGATGATGACACAGCCTATAACACACAGATTACTTCCTAGCCTGCCAGCCTATAACACACAGATTACTTCTCTAATGGTGAAAGAATTTTTTTAAATCGGCCTAGTAGTTTTTGAGTTATTTATTATAGCAAATCGACTGCCTCCCAGACATCAGGGCAGATTGTTTAATCGACGGAAGATGAGACGTGTAAAAAGAATACCTGTTCTATGTTACCTCAACTCCGTGAAATTTACTTCCTATAGATGGGATAGTAACGAAAAGGGGACTAAACTAAAAAGTAAAAAACTTCTGATAATCAAACTAATTAATACAGAAAATAAATCAAAAATACTTAGTCGAAGTAAAGGATTTTAAATGTTTTCTTTCCTTTAAAAGAAGGGAAGGCAATTCGTCTTCCCGAATCGGTATTCGATTGTCCCTAGTATCGATCTTTCATTACCGAATTAGAGAGGGGTGGTGGAATGAATGTTTACGCATTTTACTTTTACATGTCCATCGTGGTTCATCTTCACCACGATTTAATTGCAAATAAGCACTAATTATTAACAAATTTCAAAAGAAAATATAGTTGTTTTACTAATTTCAAAGCAATTAAGATCTGTGCGCATTTTACCTTAAATCTGTGCCACAAATCTCTGCGAATGACATTTTAGTTTAACCATTTAGCGTTTTTACTCCAAATTCTGATACGACTTCGTAAGATAAAATTGGACATATACCTAATACATTCTACATACCTTTTTAAAACTTGCAACATACATTGGACTGTGTACAACAATTTTATTACTTGCGTTAATAAACTAACTTCGGCCTGCGACTCCGTCCGCTTGGAATTAAAAAAAAAACTAAATCGCCTATGTTTTCCAGACTATCTTCTAGATCAGTGCCAAATTTAATCGAGATCTGTCCAGCAGTTTAGTCCACAAACTCTAACAAACATCCATCCATCCAAACATTCTCACTTATAATAATAATAGCATTGCGTAAAATATAGATTTTTACACATGTTTTATAGGTAAATGATAAAAGTATCCCACGATTTTTCGTGTCAGCGTTCGTGTTGTTAAAGTGCTACACGAATATGATAAAAAAATATAATTAGTTAAAAATAATTTCCTTTATAACGAGAAAGTTTTATTGGACACTAATTACAAAGGGTTGTTTTTAATTTCAATATTTAAGTTAATAACCCTAATAGGAATAGATATTTTTTTATAATAAAGGTCTCACGACTTCTCACCCAGTTACTAATTCACTGAGCTTAAAAATCCTATTTTAGCAAGGGAGGGGCTTATCAGTACGTAGGGTAGATTTTCAAACGTGAACATTTATATAGCTAAATAATTCAAAGATTTAATATAAATAAGTATCTGATTTGGAAATAATAATACTTTGTATAACCGTTAAAACATTGTAAATTTAAAAAAAAGTCAAAAACCAATAAGTCATCGCAGCAACTAAGCGTTTTGTTATATTCGTTAGAATAAAAAAATTATTCCGACCGAATTTAATGCATTATTTCATTATTATCTAATTTTATAAAAACTCTAAATATCGAGCAATCGACATAAATCAATTAATTGCCATTATTAATTGCATTTCAAGAATGCAATCAAATGTCACACAGTTTTTGCGTACCTTTTAATATCGGCGTGCAAAACGCCGGTATTCCAATAATAAAAAAACAGTTCAACACACCACTACAAAAAACACAACACTTTTTAATCACTAAAAACGTTGTATTTATGAATTGATAACAGCTGTAATATCGTATACTGTCAAAGGTGTCCTTGGACGCGAACGTACGCCATGTTGTTTTGAGGACGGGCGCGTGGCGACTGCGCGTGGCCGCCCCTTGCGCGGCGCATGCGCGGTGCGTCACCCCCGTGCCGTATGTTCCTGTCACACCAAACTATCGCCCTTCCTTCCTTCTTCCTGAAACTTTTTATTGGAAAAAAAAAACTTAATAAACAACTGTTTTTAATCGCAGGTTACGTTACTAATGCAAATAAGTCGAGTCAATAAGGCTGACTCTTAGAATATTACCACTTTTTACCGATTCTAAGGACCTGTCCCACCACTGGCTGATAGAGGCTCAGATAGCTTAAACGAAGTCAGGTAGGGGAACCAAATCCGATTTTACCATCACATATTTTACACGTTAGAATGTTAGCAGACAATTTACAATTTGGTAGGACAAGCCCTTAATTTATTCGGCTGTTTAGTAAATTGTTTGCTTCAAATCCTTTTTAAGACTCTTCCGTCCTTATTACACTGGTTGCTTTTGGTGCAAGGCTTTGAAATCCATCATCCATCATAAAAAAATCATACTTTATAACTTTCTATTTGAGATGTACTCTATTATCATGATACATTACGTTTCGGGACTACCGCCTACACAACACCTACGCCTCTCAAAGCCTATAGTTCAGTACGCTACTATAATAAAGTAATTTCAACTTTATAAGAAAGACATAAGAGTTATTTTCAATGTTGGGTGAAACTAGTTCAGTGTATACGATACTGGTTTAGTGATCCCAGACCGTGGTGGTCGTATGTTTTGTTGTTTGTCATAATTGTGTGAGTACAAAGCGCGACCGAAACGAAAATTTACGTAGGACGACACATGCATAAACAATGACGGCTTACGAGCTTACAACCCTATAAGCGCTTTTAATTTTTACCGGTGCAAGGACTTAAAATTAAATAATATGGGCATTGGGAAACAAGTTTTTCGAGATCAATTAAAAAATGGTTTTAGTTTTAAGCAAGATGATCGTAAAAACAATCTTACACAAGTATCGAAACTTGATCGAAACCACACACATACGTGACAGGCCCAAATTACCTGGATTCAAACCCTGATCATTATCTATTCGCAATCGGCAATTACTACACTAGAAATCCCCGAAGGTTCATTTCTTTTATATAAAGTAATTTTTTATTGCGGTTATCTCGAAAAAGACTTTAACAAATAAAACACAAAAAAATCAAATAAACTTGAAGCGACATCTTTTGTTAAAATACGTCACAATCTACTGGCAAATAAAAAATTCTATTAGATGGCGCTGAGTAGCTCTCTTAGTTTTTTTTGGACATTTTTATTGTTATTGGTGGCAGATTAGCAAAATTCACATTAGAGATAATTTATGTACAAAATCATGCCAACAGATAGAAGATGAAAATTAATTCATAATTTAATTTAGTTAAGAAACGTTTCATTTCACCTGTGTTAAGATATGTCTATCTGTAATTAAGATATGTCTAGACAAATGTCAAAGTCAGAAACCATTGTCAATGTCATATCAAGTGTCAAAAATCAAAAAATTTACACGAAGTGACCAGCTGGATTGAAATTTAATTTATATTTATTGTTATTTTATTTTTCACATTTATTTATTCATTATCAAGACAACATTTATTAGCTCAAATTAAATTGTTTAATGTTTTGCCGCATACATTTTATCCAGAGATAAAATTATGCCGGAGGATAAGAAATCTAAGTAAGTACACTTTTGAAACATTCAACATATAAATCTGTACTTTTATTAAATGAATTACTTCATATTTAAGCCGTAAAAGTGACCCAAAAGACCAGAGGAAATCTCGACGTCGTCATGACCAGCAAGTCGACAAGAAAGATAAACAACCAGCACCAAAACCTCAGCCTGTACCAGTGCAAAAGAACACCGAACCTGCTAAAGGTAATGCTTGACTCCAAGTTTTTTTTTTTTAATTAAAAAATACAAGAACTAATTTCTGAGCAAATTGTAACAATTTGAATATCATGTAATAATGAACAGTCTAAAATTTTAATCAAGAATTAGCTGAAGACCACGACTCTATCAGCGCAGAATTTAAAAAAAAAAACTTGATAGCCTTTGTGTTCTTCCATGCTATGTCATATATCTATGACAAATTGCAATAAGATCTGATAATTCCGGAGATACATAGTAATAAACATCCATCCAACCATCTAAACTTTTGCATATATAATATTATTAAGAAATTAGAAAAGTTCTAAAAAAGGTAGGATTAGTAAATAAGATTAAATCTAATGTAACACTATCCAATTCCAGATTCAGTTCCCGAGAAGCCTGTATATGAACCACCTGGTCCTGAGTTCTATAAAAATCTTAAAAGGGAGACAGATGACATACTCAAAATAACAGAAGAAGCAAACTCCAAATACAAGAAAAAGGAAATACAAAGCAATTGGGCCAAATATGAAATGCCAATTGAGAGTTACAATGAAATTGAGGAACAGGAGAATATAGGCGCTGATTATGAGGTATTTAATGTTAAATTCACTGCAGTTTTGTTTTTTACAATAGTTAATTGATTAAAAAGACAAAATTGTGGCATGATCATAAAGGGAGTGATGAGAGATGACATATGATAGAGTTATTTGGAGGACAAAAACCTGCCGCACCGACCCTACGGGAGTAGGATAAGGAGGATGATGATGACAAAATTGTGGCATTGTGTAGGTTATTTTTTTTCTTGTTAGAAATATGTGTGTTTAAAATGTAATTCATCTTGCTGTCCTCTATTTCCCAGCATCTTAATCTTCACTTTCATGACCATGTGATCTTTGATGAAACCCATCCATCTCTTCCTATGTGTATCTATGTTTGAAATGTAATTAAACCCTAGTTGCTTTGCTGGTTTCTGGCTGAAGAATGAAGTTAAAGAGGAAACTAAAAATATCTTTACTACTTCCCAGGCTCTAATCCAAGCACCATTGTCAGTTGGTGGACATTTTCAATTCAAACATGAGAAGTCATGGGATAATACCACAGGCCCTTCTCTATATGATAAATATTTCGAAATTGATATGGACAATTTAGCTATAGCTCTGTCAACAATACCGTTTTACGAAAGAAATTGTATAGACCAATCATTATTTAGCGAAACAGATATATTCAATATGAATAACAGAGCTACAAAGTTTAAGCAAAAGTATTACAATGACAAAAGTTATACTACACCTGAAATGGAAGCGCAGGATAGAATTTTAAAGAAACTAAGGGAATCTGAAGAAAAGGAAAGTACTGTTTCTGATGAAAAAGGGGAAGTTACCAAAGATGTTGATTTTACAAATCTCGAGAACAAAAATGACATAGAACACGAAGAAATTAAAACAAGTGATGAGAAAACTTCTAAACCTAGTCCTGTTAAGTTTAATAATTTAGCTAAAATTGAACCTGAAAATATTGATACGAATAAAATTAAAGAAATAGAATCTGTGAAACAAATAGTTAAAATAGAAGAAAAAGGTGACATGAAAGAAAAATCTCTTGACAATAAACATATAGACAATATTGATGATATTATAGCTGTTGTTGAAAACAAAAAAGTAGAAACTCCAAAAAAATCTGAACCAAAAACAATTGTAGATACAGCTGTTGTCACAGCAGTCGTTGAGAGTAAGTAATGTTACTAATATTATAAATGTGATAGTTTGGATGGATGGATGCTTCTTACTATATTCTAAACAGCTAATAAGGTTTTACTGAAATTTGTCACAAATATAAATCATAGTCTGGTAGAACACTGATTATTGTTTTATAAAAAAAAATATTTACACTTCTCTTTATTACCTCCTTGGTTCCGCCTTTTCTTTCTAATGTTGGCATTCTTAGATTTAATAGTAAGTTATGTTTAAAAAAGAATATTTAGTCTTTGTTCAAATTAATTTGTATTATTTTCAGATATCAGTCCAGCAGGGGAACAGGCACCACAAAAGAATCCAGTTATTGAATCTCCCGAGGATCTTGAAAAGTGGCTCGATGATTTCTTAGATGGCTAAATTATTGTATTCCATGTAACTATGACTTTTACTTTTTTTAATAACAGATTTATCATTATTTTCGTAAGTTATTGTTTTTATTATATTATATTGTTTTTTTATTAACTACTAGCTGTTCCTTGAACTGTTTTCCTGACTAACTTATTAAAAGAAAGAAATGCGTATTTGTTAAAAGTTAAAAATAAATGAAAAAAATATTTTAGAGCCGTCTGATGAGTTCCAATATTGAACCTATAAATGTTCCCGGGAATTTATAGAAATGATCTTTTCTTGCGTGAGAGCTCGCGGTGGAGCAAATGATAACCCCAGTGCAATGCAATTTAGTAAACTAAATATTATTTATTACATTGCTTTTCTAGCGATTTAAATAAAAAAAAGTAAAAAATAGTAAATTGTGGGGACCAACTTCACACTAAAAATTGAAATTGCTTTTACGGAGAAAGCAGGAAATCTCAAAGGAAAATTGTTTTCTCTCAAACCGTCTCTAGCTATTCTCCAACGATTTTCATAAAAAAAGAAAGTGAGGAGGGTAACTTCATGTAGGTCAAAAACGGGAAATGTATAGTGCCGTATAGAGCATGTTTATCATTAGCACCTTCGATTAAAATCCATTTGGAGCAATGATCTGCTGACGGCAGGTCACAAATACTTTTTTATAATTATTGTCCTAAAATCATATTTCAATATAGTCACTATAGCCAGAGAGGGGTAAATGGGACAGTTATTGAGATCTTGCCTTCAATTATTCAACAAGAGCTCGATCCTGTTCTAGTAGTACATCCATGATAAAATGTTGATTCTGAATAGACATTTTTAAGTTTTAAGTACATGTTTGATTATGAACACTAACGAAAGCTGATGAAATGTATAATTTATAATAGAGAAGTAAAAAATAAAACGATAAAAAGTATTCAAATTGTTTATTTTATTAAGTCCAAATACAGCAATTGTTTTTAAATTGAACTTCCCTATAAACAGTAAAATTTTCTGCTTTCGCTACTTCCTCCTTTGCGACTGACCCTGTATGTTAACAAAATGAAAAAAGGACCTATGTCATTGGAACCAACCAAATTGTAATTAATGGAGATCCATACAATGTAGATCACACTGTCTTTATTGTCTTTTCCACTTGTAAAAGGATATATAATTTGCAAAAACATAGAAAAGATAATGTAGTACGAAGGAGGATCATGAATGTGTTCTTAACTATATGCAAAACTTATTTTAATACTTTTAACTAACAAGATGGATAAATTAGATACTTACCTTAGTCCAATTACATCCTCTTCCGTCTTCCAATCCTCGTCCCAAACTTACATAGTTCAGCATAGGTTTTCTGATCTGCTATTGGAGAGTAAGTGTTAGTGTGAATGATGGAATGAGGATACCATCAGATTCTATTATTACTTGTGTTGCTAAAGCTATTAAACTGTACTCATACGCTGTAGTTTCGATTGCCACCACATTTTAATTCTGAAGTAATCGTTAAAAAAGATGGTGACCAGAAACTACGCCCCACAAACGTTTTGATAAACACAAAAGTCTCGACGTAAATGGAACTTATGACGACTTACCATAATTTCATTGAAGCCATGTAACAAAAGTCGTAAGATTCTAGATGAGTTTTCTATCGCTGCTAGTCCCTTGACAAGAACTGAATTTTTCACAAAACTTCATTCCCTAGTCTCCATCTGAACTGTATTCGAAAACTACCCACCGTAGCTTCAGCTCAGTCCCTTTAGCAACATTCTTGCAATCGAAGATACTTTTCTGCGCAGTTCGACTTTTGTTCAACTTTTAATAGATCCTTTTCTGATCTTCTAAGATTGTCATAGAAAGCACTTTGAAAAACTGATATATTGGGTATTCTATTTCAGTTTATTAAACGGAAAATGAAAATACGTCCAGTGTAATTTATTTTATTTCGAATCTAGGGTAAGAGTTGTTTTGTACTGTTGTCGTAAATGAAAACAAAGCGATTTCCTTCTTGGATTGAAAAAACAACATGAGTATCTTGAATCATCCATCCATTCCAAAATCTCCCATTCATACATCTGTCTCTGCATGATTTTTTTCAACTGTAAATGAATCTCACGACCTTGTGCTTGAGGTTATGAGATCTAAGGAAAGATATTAAATGGATGAAATTTGTGCATCACACAACCACACAAGTCACAGGCGTATAATTTTATCGCTTGTTAAATAAGAATTTCATGAGTTTCGTTTAAATTTGTATTTTACTTGGTATCAGTACAAATAAATCATTACACATAAAACACATATAACGAACTAATAGAAAAAGTTAAAATTTCAATATTTTTACATTCTACGAAAGATTCATGTGGAACAAACAACAAAACATACAAACTAAATATTAGGCAAAGATTTACATTTTAAGACTGTTTCAGTAGTTATACACAAAAGAGGATATTTTTATTGTTATGGTACAAGTCTTGTAACTCATCTTTGCCTCGCAATCTACCATATTAAAAAAAATATTTATAGCTTTTCAAAGCATTCAAAGGTTTTCAGCTTCAAAAAGCATTAGCAATTAAATCCTTAGAATAAAAAGACTTTCTCTGATAAAATTGTAGCACGCACGTCGTTTCATCTTGAGACTGCTCCATTTTGTGACTTTTCTTGACAAATGATGACGTTAAAGCAGCAGGAAACTGGTTCTGGTTCTGGTTCTGGTTCATGCATCATTCTTCATGTAAGTTAAAACTAGTATTTGCATTTCATTTTCTTCCTTCATAACGCATTGCAATTATTGAAATGCTGCAGCAGTTATTAATTTTTTTAAAAGTATAAATCTATAATGAAAAAAATATAAAAAGACAAAGTTCAATCTTGTCTTTCATGAAATCACTTTAGTCACCAATCTATATTTGGACCTTGTTAAGTGTTCCAAGGTGCCAAATAGAATATTGGCTGATTCCTACAAACAAAAAAAATCGACTGAAAATATAAAAGAAATAGTGTTTAGGCGCAATTAAAATGAACTGTAACATCATTACAATATGTATAATATTTTCACCATGAGTTCCATAGCTGAAATACTTGTACCAAAACAATCATCTCCCTTTTTTCAAAGAGAATAACACGACGATAAAATACATGTCTTTCCGCTTTGGAATTCACGTTTACAATAGTTGGAAAATTCTTCATTGATTGGAAAAGTTGTAATAACCGTCATCTTTACTGCCACTCCCTCCATAGTCGTAGCTATTTCCCGGAACGCGCCTGTTGAACTGAGAGCGTTGAGGCTGGGATTGCTTCAAAGTCTTCGCACGGGCCGCGAGCTGAGACACCAGCTGAGCAGGAGTCAGATGAGCTATTGAAATGTGTTCATGATTGCCGGCACCGCCACTTGGATTAAACACTGATTTAGAATTAAGCAAATCTTCATCCACAACTTGAGTATGCACTGTAGCTGTAAAATCTTCACGGTCCATCGAAGTATTGGCATCGTTGGTTTTCGTATTTTCACGTATATGACACACCTCGCAGAACGGATTCATAGTTTGAACAGCCGCATCAACCATATTCTTGATGTTATTCTTTTTTGAACGCAAAACAATGTCACTTAACCCTATTGATGAAATGACGTTATCAATAATTTGTCTGTTTTTCCGCACTGTCTCCGATTCACAATCAGTTTTTGTGAAGTAAAATTCCACAGGTGCTTGCCTCTTCAATGGAGAGCAATATTTAGGAGTTAAACTCTTTTGTTCTTGTTCAATAAGGGCATTGTTTAGAAATAAACGATTTGGCATTTCTAACTTAGAAAGCTTAGCCAATGCTTGGAGGCAGCGGTCTAACACTGTGAACGCAAAACATATAAATGAGAACATAACACTTGGGACAAACAGTAACTTTTAAATTGGACCAAAATACATTTGACACTTAAATCTTCAACCTTGACACCTTCGCATAGGCTAGAGGACCAAAAAAAATAGTCAAATATAAATCAAAACTTAGTGCAGTTAAAATACTATATTAAGCTGGCTATAAAAATATAAAAACACTAATTAATCAATTGAGAACTATTTTTAGGTTATTTTTTTTTCTTTATCAGACCTTATTTAAACTAGTATTAATAATATGTCACATTAAAATAGACATTTTACCCACCCTTAACTCTGACCTGTGTAGCCACAGCCCTGTCCATGAATGGACCTGAAATAAACACAATCAAATCCCATTAAAGCAAGAATTAACATTTAAAAAAGTTTGAAATGCCATTAGTAAGTAATGTAAGCAGAGAAGTTTCATACTAACATAATTGACCCTTACCTTTATTTGGAGCCAGCTTGAAATAGTCCTCTTTGGAAAGCTTGCCATCAACAACCAACTGAAATTTAATTTTTAATTAATAAATTAACTTTAATGTAAGTGCAATTTATTTAAGTAATTATTATTACTTTAGCTAAAGCATCATATGGTTTTTCACTTGAAGTTTGCACACTGAGAGGAGGAACTTGCTGGGTCACTGGACTGCTTTCAAATGGAGGAGGAACCATTGACGGTGTTGCATGTATAATCTGTGCTGAAGTAGGCTGCGGCAATCCAAGATTCATTGTATCTGTTGTTGGACCATATTCATAACCGGCACTAGGATAAGAATTTTGCATATAAGAATACCCCGGTGTTCCTGAAGAATATTCTGTTAAATTACTCCCATAGAACTCTCCATGCATAAGGTCCCCTTCATTATTTGATATGGGCATTGGTATTGTTGACTTCTCAACTGGATACAGAAACGAATCTTTCAGTTCCATGGATGCTTGTTTATCACTATATTTATATTTTGAAGAGGTTGGTGAACGACTCCTGCTGCGCCAACGTGGGCTCTGTCTTCGTGGGCTGTATCGATGTGGGCTACGTCCTCGGGGGCTGCGTGCTCGTGGACTTCGTCGCGGGGGGCTTCTTGCACGAGGGCCAAATGGAAGGGGACTTGGTCTAGAATAATTGCGAGCTCTTGAATTGTAATTATAAGATTTTCTCCAACTTGGGCTTTGCTGGCGGAATTTGTGATAGGATTTGAAATATGGCTTTTCACGCGGATTTTCATAATGTCTATTATTATAATAAATTCGTTTATCTTTAAATAAATGTTCCCTTTTTGGAGACTTCAAATATTTTGGATCTCTGGGTAATGAATGTCGGGAATGTTTTTCAGGACTCCGTGATCGGCCTTTTCGTTTCGAAGGTGCAGAAGATTCATTTAGAAAATCATCAAGTTCAGTTCCAGGGGGCTTAAGGTCGTCAATTGAGTCTAGATGTTTGGATAAATATTCTTTCACTTTAACCGCTTTATCTTTCTTTATAGCTTCATTGGTTTTACGGAGATCTCGACGACTTCCAGGCTTTATGTAGTTGTCGAGTTGGCTAGAATGACCATGGTCACTACTAATAGACCTCTCGCGATGTTCGGTTATCTTGATTTGATCGTCTATATCATCAACATTAGGGTCTCTGTCTTCTCGGCTATCGCCGATCAGTTCTCGAAGGTCGCTTACGCCATCGATTGCCGCGGCGTCGATTCGCGATCTCGAACTTCGTGATTGCGGCTTTTCTTTTACATCCCAGCTATCAATTACACTGAGACCTTCCATAAATTCTTCTTTATTAAAATCATCGAAAAAGTCGCTTGGAATATCCTCATCAGATATGTCGTCTTCCTTAGGGGATTTCATTATAAAACTCAAAACACTTGAAAATCAATCACTTTAATCTTATGTTTTTAAGCAAATTATACCTCGAAACACTAAATAAAAACAACCTTTGAGACCAATATCTATATTTAAATGAATAAACAACTTTTAACAGTATTATTCAAGCATAATATAGTCAATAAAACACGCATTTTCCAAAAAACTGACAAAATCGCTTTTCTAAACTGTCAGACAGCTGTGCAGTGCAGTGGTCTTAAAAACGGCTTAAGCACAGGTGCATAAGATCGTAGCCGTAACGGAATAATTAAACATTATGTATTTTTATAACTTCTATGTATCGGCTATTATTAAAAAAAATGTCTATTGGTTATTATAATCTCTGAATATATTACAGTACAGTAATTTCCAATTACAATTCTCATAAAACATTCAATACGGTTGCCCAATAGGCCCTATTTAAAATATAACTTGTCTATGGCACACACACAAGACAGATGTCATCATGTCATGTCTCTGAAAGTCTATGGGTGACGGCTTCGTTGTGTTTGTTTATCGTAATGTTTAAACTATATTTTCTCTGTTAATTCTATTTGTATCACTTTATGCTGTCGTTGAATTAAATAATAATGTTTGAATGTTAACTTATGTTAATGTACTTTTGAAATAAATGCAAAATGGAGTGTACGCAGAGGATTGAATGTACACAAGAATTATGTCAAAATCCTCAAGAGAGGATATTTCTTGAAGAGGTATAAATATTATTTAAATGTATTGTCTAAAATTACTTACTACTTACTTATTAACTGGCATGTAAAAGGGATGTTTATTTTTGAATTAAACATATATTATCTTGATCTATTGTAGAAAAAAATGTTTATAAAACTCGTAGTGGTTTACTTAGGTATAAATTGTAATTGGTTTTCAAAAATTGAGGCACAATAAAAAAAATTAGGGCACAATAAAAAAAAAATATTTATTCTAAAAATCAATTTTCTCTTCAGATTGGATTCCTGGGCATATGTGGAACAAAGTATCCAATAAGGAAAGGCCCAAATAAAATAGGTAGAGATCCTGGAACTTGTGAAATTGTCTTAAATTTGAATGTAAGTATAGTAACAATTCTCAATACCACATGTCTATGGCAATAAGATTTGTTTTAATTTTCAATTTATGTAAGCTTTCGCCCGCGACTTCTGTGTGGTATTAAAAAAATAAAAATAAGTAGCCTATGTGTTCTTTCAGATCATCCACTATATCTGTCCATCCATCCATCATATCCATCCATCTAAACTTTCGTATTATATACATCTACATGTCGTTATCATCATCATCCCCCTTATCCTACTTCTGTAGGGTTGGCACAACTGGTTTTTGTCCTCAACATAACTCAGTGTAACCCCTACAAGTGTAACCCTCTACATTTGTGGTCATTTTATAAGGACAGTTATTGCTGAATGAGGCCTTTAGTGTGATAATTATAAATATAAAGGCATTTGTCATTTACATGTATCAATAGTTGGATACAAAGGTTAAATAAACAAAATTATGAATGATGGTAAAAAGAACAGAAAAGACAAGACTAAGAAAAGACAGTACAATTTGCTTTTAATTTCTCTTGTAGTCGGTTTCCAGACAACATGCAGTTATAAACATTTTAAATTCTAAAGAATATATGATAATGGATTTGGGCTCAGCAAATAAAACAAAATTACTTGATGTAAGTTTTTTTATCCTAACATATAATAATATAAGGAAATTAAAAATGATTTAAGTTTTTTTTATGTTAAGATCATACAATATTTGACAATTTATGCATATTAAAAAAGTTTGATATTATTTACTTAAGCAAGTAGAATTCCTGTTTTACTTTTTTTTATGTTTTTTCGTATCAGAAAACTCTACAACCCTACATTGCACAGCCTCTAAGAAATGGTGATACAGTACAGTTTGGACAAATTTTTGGCGTATTTAGGTTGCTTGAGGATGAAAATGATTTACCGATGACTCAAGCTTTGGATATTCCTGACACACCAGTTGTAAACAAACATGCATCAAAATTAATTAATTTTCCTCACACTGTGATACCGGAATCTCCAGATGTCAGTGACAAGGTATGTATAAAAATAGTTAAACTCGCAAGTTTTAGCCGTGTTACAAATCATATAGTATAATGGCTCACGAAAGTTTTAATAAGTTAGTAGATAAAGTTATTTAAAACATTACTTAAGTTTTCAAGTATTTTTTAAAATACCACTATTGACAGAAAATTATAAAAAATTTATAATGCGCTAAACAGTGTTCTTAACTCATTGTGTTGCATAAAAAAAAATTAAAACCCCTGTATTTTATTGCAGGATGAATCTTTTATTGCTCCATCACAGCCTAAAAATTATGACGTATTTAAAAGTCCTTCACAGAATTATATAAAATCATTCGGCAGAACAATCGCCATACAACCTATAGGAAGTAAGCAAATTGACAATATTTATTGGAATTCTTCAAAAAAATCAGTATCTATTGATATGAGTCTAAATGAGTCAGATACCGAACCTGGACTTATAAAAAATACAGTAGTCGAAGAAAATATTCATGATATGGAAACCCAAATTCCTTCAAATGATCTTGATGATTTATATTCTGCTGAAACACAATTATGTGATAACTCATTACAACCTGGAATTTCAAAAACAATCATACCAAAAACTACAAGACTTGAAAAAGAATTGGATGTTAATGTAGAAAACAAAGAAAACAATAATAGTATATACAATGCAGATACACAATTTACAATCGCTGAAAGTGATGTGAATGGTAGAAATAGCACAGGAAATATATCTAATACTGAAAAAATATCTAAATCCAGACTAAGTTTATCTGATGAAGAAATTATCTTTCAAGAAGTAGATGGTGAACCATTGGATGAAGATTTTTCATCTCAACCATTGTTACTTTCAGAAACAATAGATGGTACAGAAAATGTCCTGAATTCTGATAAGTCCATAGAAAGAAATGTTGAAAAGGAAAAACTTATAGAAGAATGTGATAATAAATCTGAAGGATCTACCGATTGTGAGGATTTTGAAATGTTGCTTACACAAAAAATACCCAGCTTAAATGAAAATAATGCAACCTCTGAAAAATGCATTATGCCTAATAAGGACAATGTGAGTTCTAATAAAAATCTAGACATAGATGACGATAGTACTGATTGTGAAGATGATTTGTTTGGTAATAACAAAGTTAATGGAAACAACAAAATAACAGTAAAATCTAATTTATTAAATTTGAGAATGACAGAAAGTAAAGACGCAAGTAAAAGTGAAATTAATAATCTAAAAGACCAAACATCAGAAAACACAAATTTTGAAGATATGCTCACACAAGTCGTTGAAGTAGTAAACGATCAAAATGAAGTTGATAATTCAAATTATCCCAAAGAACAAAATTTTGAAGATTTACCTACCCAAGTGATATCATTTACTTCAGAAGAAGTATTAAAAGAAAATAAAACAGTCCAAGAAAAAAGTCCTTTTAAAGTTCCATTTAAGACCGTTAAAAGCACCAGAAAAAAGGATACTAACTCTTCAATTAAAAATGTTTCAAAAATATGTGAAGATGATGATGAAAATTTTTATGCAGCGACCCAAGACATATTTCAAGATTTATGTTCACAGAGAGACATAAATACAGAGAACAAGTCTTCTAACATTAATACCGGAAATGCGAATTTTGTGCCTGAAGCAACTGGTGTAAAAGGTGATAAGTTAGTAAGTAATAAATTCGAAGAGATGGATGTCGATGAACTAAAATTTACAAAACAGAAGAATGCAGATAGTACTAGTAGCTCTGATTTAGAATGTACTCCAAATAATTCACATAAAAATATTACTTTCATGATCACAGAGCCACCCAATAGTCAAGAAATAGTAAAAAATATTACGTTTAATTCAAAACCAATCGTTATGGAATCCTTTAGTGATTCAGAAGATAATGCGTCGGAACAAAACACACCAATTCTGTTTCACAAGCGCAAAAGAATTAAAAATACCAAACTCGATTTGACCAAAAAAATTGAATTAGAAAGCCTTCCTTCGAGAACAATCACTAGGAAAAGAAAACCTACAGCTAAAGTAGAAAATAACAGTTCCGAAATTAAAAATACTTTTAAAAATATTCTTGCGCCTAAAGTTTTTGGTGATCAGGATGAAAATGTTGATAAAGAAATTATCGCGGCTAATATATCCCGAATAAAAAACACAAAGAATAAAGAAGAAAAGAGAAAATCAAATCAGAATGAAAGCATAAAAGCAGCTCTATCAAAACAAGAAAAATTAAAATCTAATAAAATAGACAAAGAGATTAGTGTTACAGAAAAGAACAATGAAAGTCGCAATGATTCAAAGAAAAGCAGAACTGATAAAAATCCTTTAACTAATGAAATTAAAAAACGCAAAACGAAAAAAAACGAAAGTGATAATTTAGACTCAACAAAATCAGAACAAAGTCCAGAAACTTCTAAAACTGATACAACTAGACAACGGAGTACAAGAATAAAGCGAACAGAAGACAAAAGTAAACCTAAAAAAGACATTATTAAAGTCTCCATAAAGCCTAAAGGAAAACGTAGTTATGAAGAAGAAATAAAAGATGAATCACCTGAAAAAGAAATAAGGAGAAGTAAACGACAAAAGATAAAGAAAGATATAGAAGAGAAGAATGCAAAGAAAACGCGAAGTAATAAGAAAATACAAAATGAAATAACATCGTACTATGAGAGAGAGAAAAGTATTATATACAAGCAATCGGATGAATCAAGATTTAGTTCTCCTAGAAGTGCTTTGTCTTTAAAAGAGGATGTTTCTATGAACAAAAGTGAAGCCACATCCAGTCCAGATAGAAGATCGTTACGAAGAACTGCTTTAAAAAATACTAACCACAAAGTTTTGTTCACGGCATTTTCACATCCAGATATCAACATCTTGTATCAGCTGTTGGAGAAACTAAGTAAGTGATTTTGTATCTGCGATATTAAATTGTGGTAGTTTTCATTACCCAACTAGAATAAGGATATGCAGAGTTCAAATCTCGATTACTAACTGTTTTCACTTTTTTTTTTTTTTTCAGTATATTTTAACATAAGGAAGTATTATATGCCAATTATAGTTTAAAGAAAATTAAGAAAATAAATTTTTGCTTTAACATTTTAACATGCAGGCGATAGATGGCGTTATTATACAATTAAAGCCTTAGTCGTTTTAATTGAGGTTATGTTAACGTATGTTTATTTTTAAAGTGTTTTTCACAGTATTTATTGCTTTTTGTCTATATTTTTATTATACCGTGATTTAATTTTTAATCGACTACAAAAAAGAGCAAGTTCTCAATTCGATTAGATTTACGATACGATTTTCTTTGTTTGATTCGAAAAAGTTGGCAGCATGTCCGAGATTTTTAAAAATAAAGAACTATCCATTATTTTTTATGTTTTCAAAATCAGTGTTGTTTTTTAGATGCGGTTATAGTGACGGATGTGAAGGCGTGCACAGTGGTAGTAACTGTAGAGTTAAAGCGGACATTTAAATTACTGTGCGCGGTGGGACTGGGCAAACCCATCGTCGGCACAACTTGGATACAAGCCTGTCGTGATTCTAATATGATTGTCGGTGAGTTTTCTGTAATACTAATTAAACACCACATTAATCTACCCTAAAATACACTACTATCTAATCCTACTCTCGTAGGGTTAACGCACCGGGTTTTTGTCCTCCAAATAACTCTATCATCCGTCATCTCAGTCATCACTCCCTTCTTGATCATGTCACCTTTCACGCAATCCATCCATCTCTACAGCTCTACCTGTACCGGTGTACCACACTCATAACATCCTTGTTAAATGCTGTTCATCCCTCCCTTCCTCATAACATGCAACCTTGCTTACCTGTTTTTTCCCAGTAATCAAGAAGATAACCTTTAGTTTTTTTCCCAGTAATCAAGAAGATAACCTTTAGTTTTTTTTTTCCCAATAATGTAAAGCAATTCAATCATTAACACTTATTGAGTGCGGCTTGCAACCTTTCAAACATCAATATTTTAATGTAATTCAGAGTTTAGATTTATATGAGACTGTTAAATAATTAGAAGTTGTTGCTGTCTGCAATCACATTTACAATCAATTTAACGACTTTTTTAGCTTTTTTTTTCACTACTCTCCCCCATCAAAGTGAAATTAATTAAACATATCTTTCCTATAAATTTGTCTTATAAAAATGTGTCTTTTTAGAGGTTATTATAACTTGTGTTATTCTTTAGATCCATGGCTTTATTTACTAAAAGACGAGCTAAGAGAGAATCGTTTCAAATTTGAGTTAGCTCGCACTCTGAGAAGCAAAAGGAATTTCCTCAAGGGATACAATGTCTCTTCCACACCTAAAGTTGAGCCAGGTCCTAATGAGATGAAATGTAAGTCACAGATTTTTTAAAGCACTTTGTTTTGTTGAAATTCACCAATTAGGATAACCATTCAAGTACTAGCTGTTCCCATTATTCATCCGCATGACTTTATAACCAATGGCGGATCCAGGGGGGTCTTATGGGGGTCCTCTCTGAGCTGGTCGGTCCAGAGCTTGACAAAATATATTTACATATTTTTATGTGGGTACCTATGTGGACTATGTGGACCCCCCACCTGGCGCCAAAGCTAGATCCGCCTTTGATTTTGACAAAGCTTATTGTTTGTATTTCTGTAAAGGTATTTATAGCAAATATTAAAATTTAAATGCTCAATTGGTAGCAAAGATCCTCCCTATCGATTGAGAATTTAAGTAACTATGGCAACATTACTTCTTTGCTGCTATTGGCTGAGAATTTAAGTAACTGGCAATCTTATTTCTTTGCTGCTATTGGCTAGTAGTTTTTGTCCTTTTCTCACAAAACACTATTTTGCAATCTACTGACCCCTAAGTTTGATAGAGTGTAAATATATAGCCTAAAGCATGTTGTTATATTAGGTTTTTATTTAAAAAAATATGCTATGCAGATATCTTAAATAACAAAATGTGAACTTTTTATTATACTAGTATGAAGTCAAAGTACTGTATTTATAATATTAGTATTGTGTTCCAGTGATTGTAGAATGTTCCGGTGGGAATTGGAAGGAGGGTGGGTCGCAGTGGGTTTGTGTTTCAACGCTAGAAGATAGGGCTCTCTGGCCCTCGCTAAAGCGCAGGGGAGCGACAATAGTCAACCCTGAGTTCATTTTAGGCGGTGTTTTACGACAAAGGATAGATTTAGAGAAAAATATATTAACGTAATGTTACACCGTAGTTTACCTATTGGCCTTGTTGATTCTTTTGATGCGAATCTCTAAGCCCTTCTATATTTTTAAGACAGCTTTCTGTTTTTATCAATAATAAAAAAATCAAACAAAATAGGACCCACCTGCAAGCATTACCTTTCGGATAAAATAAGAATTATCAAAATCGGTCCACTAGCGGCGGAGTTATGCCGTAACACACATTAAAAAAAACATACAAACGAATTGAGTACCACTTTATTTTGGGAAGTCGGTCAAAAAAAGAAATGACGGCTGTTTGACTATTAAAATCATTTAAAAACTACCTAAAAGGTATTAAAAAATATAAAAAAAAATGTTCGTCAGTGACGCTTTTACGTGATGACGTCACAATCCTGTTTAGTGCCTCTCTTTTGCTCGTGCAGCGATCTCGCTCGCACACTCCGCCCAGGAACGTGACAATTCTAAAATAAGACTAATTTGTATGGAGTTTTTCAATGTTTTTTGAGGAAAAATTAATTGTAATTGACCTTAAAAGTGCAAATGTTTTTTTTTTTAATTTAGCTTATCGCTGGTTCGATTTAATCTGGATATCTACTTGAATATTCATAACTTTTTATAGAGATTTGTGATGTTTTTAACAGTTGAAAGTATTTGCATTTTGTTTGACAGATTTAATTAAACGTATGACAGTTTTGAGACCCAATGAGCCATAGAATAATGATTTTGATTGTCAATAAAAATTTTAAGATTTGAATCCTCTATGATTATTTTAATTTTTAAGTCATATTAATGTATTTTTAATAATTTGGAATTCAACGAGGTGTTATCTCAAAATGTCTAATAATCAATTTTAATTATCTTTTTAAAAGTCTTACCTCGTGTTTGCATTGCCCAAACATGTTTTATAATGCAGATGTGCTTTGAGTAATTTTATTGACTTAAATGTTTAATATTGCACAGTTGAAAACATCTGTTTTCAACTGTGTAATTAATTATATAGTGTTTGCTTTATGAATGGATTAAATGATTATTATTATTATTTATTATTATTATTATTATAACTCTACTACTCCTAAATCTATTTCAGAAGAACGAAATACAGTCAATAAAAGTTCCAGAAGATTCTAATAACTTAACCGAGAACAATAAAACTTCACCGTAATG